GTCATAGTTTCCCCACCAACTTTGAAGACCTCAGCTGGTATGCCATCGGGGTCAGATGCTTTGTTGTTCTGCATCTGTCTTATCACCTGGTGGACTGGCAAGTGCTTCCCTTACTGGATGCTGTGGATGGATTTGATAATTTCATCAGTCACTGTCAATTCTCAGTTCAGGAGCTTTTGGTAGTGCTTCTTCCAGTGGTTTTTGATGGATTCATTGTCTTTGAGCAGTGTACTGCAATCTTCAAATCTAAGCGGGGTGAGTCCGCAAGACTGGTCCGTATACAAACTCGACTGCACTGAAGAAGTATGACAAGCATGTCCTGATGGTCAACAAATTGTTACATTTCTTTCGCCCTCTCTTCCCACCATTTGTTCTTGATTTCTTAAATCTTCCTCTGGGCTTCAGCCTTCAGCCTCAAAAAGTTCCCTGCTTCTGACTGGACATAGGATGGTTTTGCCAGTCACAGAAAGCTTCTCTCTTCTGATCGAGAAGGGCTTTGATCTCAGCATTGTTTTCATCAAACTAGTCCTGATAGCATCGGGTGATAAAGCTAATTAATTCCATGAAAGCCTCATGGATGGTCTCTTTTAGAGTTTACCAATTTTCCTCAACAAGTGTTATACTTTTCAATCCTAAAATTCGTGAGTTTCTTACTGAGATGTGTTTGGAGGGCTTCACAGTTGCTAGGGGTCTAAAGGCATTTGATGCTGTACCATCTTTGGACTGATCTGCGTTGCTTTTTGATGTTTCAACACAACCCTGATGGACATGACTGGTCCAGCAGTTATCAGCTCTTCTCATAACATGTGTGATATTGAAGTCTTTGAGATCACATGCTCTTACAATAACATAGTCAAGGACGTACCATTGTTTCAAGCAGGGGTGTTGTTGCCCTGTTGCTTTGTACCTATATCACATTGTTTGAAGATAGTATTAGTAATGATAAGGTCATGCTCTGCACATTTACTGGGTAAGAGAATGCCATTGGAATTAGCCTTGTCCACTCCTTCCTTCCCAAAGGTGCCCCTCCACATGTTAAAGTCCCAGCCAACTCTCACACTGAAGTCTCCAAGGAAGATGATCCTGTCCTCTTTCAGGATGGTGGTCAGGATTTCATCAAGGTCAGCACAGAACTGTTCTTCCTTGGCAATGAGTGTTGGGGCACATGCACTGATGAGGGTAGCAAATGAACTGTTGGTCAGTTGGAGGTGGAGAGTAATGAGGTGCTTGTTAATGTCAACAGGCAATTCAGTCATTTGGCTGACAATCTGGTTCTTAATGGTGAAACCAACGTCATGTATTTGCCTGTCATTTGCAGGTTTTCCTTTCCAGAAGAATGTGTATAACCATCCTCCCCCTCCCTCAGTTGGCCCTTGACTGCATGTCTGGTGTCACTGAAAGCAGTGATATTGATGTCTTATCATGAGAGTTCTCAGGCTACAATAGCTATTCAGGTTGTCTAGTAGGGTTCTTACATTCAAGGATGCAAAATCAATTTTTGTGTTTGACGGCAATTAGTGATCCCCCTGGAAGCAGTTATCCAGTCAGGTAAGATAAAGTGGGACAACCTATGTTTAGGGCACCTTTTTTTAGCCCCCACGCTACATGGGGTGAACAGAGGGGTTCCTAAAAGGGACTACTCAGTCACGATCACAGCTGTTGAATTACCCTTTTGTCCCGTATCAAGGGTGAGGAAACCACCACATGACCGCTGCCTATGCATCAATCTGTGACTAGGGACTCCCGGTGATCACTCTGCCTGTCCCTTATGGTCCATTGCCGCAGGACTTTTTAGAAGTTATGGTATTCTTATTGGTTATTGTAGTAGATGCTGGATCAGTGGGAGAAGCCTGTGCATGACTTGTTTTATGAGAGGAGGCCGTTGTGCCTCAGCAACCGCATGGATTTTGGCGGAGGAGAAACCTGTACCTGGTGGCAAGGAGGTCCAAGACAACTGGGGTTACTCTTCCATTGCAGCCTTCATCTACCTTCACAGCCATTGAGAAGTATTCCTTCTGCATCTGCCTGCTCCACCCACCGAGGTCTTGCATTATGTTGGACTGCTCTTTGTCTGGTACCTCACCTTTGACCTTACCACCATGGGTGACCCTACCAAGAGTACAAGATGTCTGTTGCTGTTGCTCTTCGGGTTATCAGTATATGCAAGCCTCTCCACCCCATCAAGGTGGCAGTCCATGGAAACATGACTTGGAGATAAACCCTTTAACACTGTACAAAATATTGTTTTTAAATAAGACCTTCCTAGTGTGGTAATACTTTAGAATTTGTAATAACTTTCCTTCTATTCTTACTGTTTGTCACAGGCGGAGAAAGACCGGGGAGACTCCCGAGCCCGTGGAGGGAGCCCCAGAGCCAGAGGCAGGGGGCGGAACGGAGAAAATAAATAAATAAATAAAATAACTTACTCACTGCAGGACGTGAGGAAGAGCAGGGATGGCCGGAGAAGCTCGCGCGTGGCCTGGACGACGCCTTAAGTCACCTGCGGTTGGCGGGTGACGTCACTCCTAATCGCCGGCCGGCAGTGATAAAAGGGCCGGCAGCGGAGAGGAGCGAGGTGCACGCATGGCTGCCGGGAGGGAGCCTGGCCGGTGGAGTCAGTTGCAGGTGCGGAACGCCGGAGCTGACTGCCGGCGCTCGCCGCAGAGAATTAAAGAAGCCCGGGGACGAGCCAACACCCGAGGACAGTGCGACAGTAGCGGGTGAGCTGGGTGAGGGGTGGGCAA